CATTCCTTTATTGTCATTTATATAAAAAAAAATCTGACATTTGAAATTAATTCTAGCCAAAATATTGATTGTCGTAGAAAATGCTGAATTAATTACATTTAGACACGCGTTTATTAAAAGATGCTTTTAAGTTAAGCTCACTTTAATAAAATGTTTTGTAAAAGGGATTATCGATTGTAAAGGAATCTGGAAGATCTTTTGGGTCATGATGATTTCCCCCATATTTAAATATTTGAATAACATGTTTTGTATAAAGAGAAATTAGTTCGTATTGTCTCTTTCCTTCTATCTTAATCTATCGGACTTAATTTTTGTTTCATCAAAAAATAGAAACAATTATTATCTTTAATAGATATGAATTGATTCAGTTGTATATAGTATGTATATCGCTCCTCTAACTTTCTTTTTATTTCATCAAAAAAAAGCAATTAAAAAAAACAATTATCTTTGAAAAAAATTTAATTGATATAGTATGAGGATATAGTATGAATTTAGTACGAGTATGAATATAGTATGAGAGCTTAAGGACAATTCGTTTATATTGTCTTTTTACTTCTTATCTCTACACTAACTTTTTATTTCAAGAAAAAAAAAGTTAAAGAAAAGCAATCATTATCTTTGAAAAAATGTGACTTGATTAAGTTGTATATAGTACTTAAGAGCAGTTTGTCCGTATTGTCTTTTTGCTTCTAGCTTAGCCCATCTCTTCTAGGACTTACTTTTTATTTTATCAAAATAATGGAAACAATTACTGTCTTACAGAAAATAATAATTGATTAAGTTGTATATAGTATGGCGGCTGAAGGGTTGTTTGTCTATATTGTATTTTTGCTTCTAGCTTAGTCCATCTCTTCTAGAACTTACTTTTTATTTCATTAAAAAGAAAATAGAAGCAATTATTATCTTTTAAAAAAAATGTGAATTGATATAGCATGAGAATATAGTATGAATTTAGTATGAGTATGAATATAGTATGAATTTAGTATGAGTATGAATATAGTATGAGGGTTTATGGACAATTTGTCTATATTGTCCTTTTGCTTCCTATCTCTCTCTCCTTTAACTTTCTTTTTATTTAATCGGAAAAATAAAGCAATTATCTTCTGTGAAAAAATATGAATTGATAAAGTATGAATGTAGTAAAGTATGAGTATGAATGTAGCATAAGGGTTTAAAAGTTTGTATATTATTTTTGCTTCATATCTCTCCTCTAACATTCTTTTTATTTCATCAAAAAGAAACCATCAATTAAACGTGAATTGATAATGTTGTATATAATATGGGGGTTTATGGGCAGTTTGTCTATATTGACTGCTTCTTTCTATAAAAGCGTAGTTTATTTTTATCGATAAAATGATATTTAATGGAGTTAATAGAACTTTTTTTTCCATACTGCCTTCAAAGGGCTGTATAGTTGGAGTCAAAGTTTTATTAGAAGAAGAAAAAAAGTTTTTGATCTTATGAGCGACAATTGTTTATAATTATGTGAACCAAAATATTACTCAAATGAAGATTATGATATATTTTTAAATTTAAATCTAACCAAAGCTTAATTTATCTCATTTGAACGTTTTTGAGGGGATGTTTGATTAAACTATTGTAAAGCTCTGTCGAATATTGAGAGTACTGAAAAATTGATATTTACAGGAAAATTAGGAAAAAGTTATCTTTTGATTCATAAATTCCAGAGCCAAGTTTGTTTAACCACGATAAAAAGTTTATTTAAAATATAAGCTAATGAATAACATTTGAAATATCGCTGGTTTCGTAATTGTCCTGATCTTTTACGATTTTCCTGATGAAAATTATTTTGCCCTGATTTTTAGTTTTTTTCCTGATATTCCTGATTTTACGTGTTAAGAACATTCCATTTTCTATGAATACAGTTGCGGATTTTGAAATAAACAATTTGAAGAATTTAAAGATTTGGACTTTTTAATTTAATTATTAATACTGGTAAAAATCGCAAAAATTGATAATTCTAACTTCGGGACAGTTCATTAATTATATATATGGCGTATAGCAGCAGAATTTAATGTTTCAAACACCTTGTGTATAGTTTCGATGTATTATTTTGTGGGAGACATTATTGAATTGTAATTATATTCGAATAGAAAATGTCTTAAAAAACGATCTCATTTCTTAGTTTGCACAACGCTTAAAACACGCCTTAGATTTTTTAAATGTATCGAGGTTTGAATGATGCTAACTTGGCGAAGTATCCTTTTGCCAAGGGTGCTAATCTCGTAACTAACGAGAAAGAAAACCGAACTGCTGCTTGCCGATCAATAAAATTTTTTTGCAGAGTTTTAAAATCTTGTATAAAATTTAATATTTTTATTAATCACTTTTAATTACATCGAAATAATAAAAAACAATGATGTTTTCCTTCGAAAAGAAAGCATAATTCTGCAGCTGAAAAGTATATTTCGCCAGAAAAGATTATTTTTTAATTTAAGATTCCCATCGGAAGCTCTAATATATGCGTTTAATAGGCTAAATTTAAAAGTTTAAATTATAAGATTAGAATAAAAAGTCTATTGTAGTACATACCAAGCTCTAAATAGTAAATTCCAAAATTCCTACATAATTCTGTGTTCTATAGGTATTTTTAATACAACAATTTATTAGTTGAATTAGAACTCCAACAAGAAATCGTCTGAAATTATTTTTTTTTTTTATAAGTGTCTTAAACATGATTTCTCAACTGCGTTTTTTTCGATCATTTGGCGATATACATTTACAGTATACTCTCGATATTTTAAAAACGTTGTTATGTCAAAAAAATATTTTTCCTAGGTGTTATATATCAACTTAATGTAAATTTAAAAACCTATGTCTAAGACTTTCTTCTCAAAATCTTGTTATGTCGAATTGTTTTAGAAATAGAAAATGAATATCTTCGGGAAAATCACAATGTAAGTTTATTTTAAACAGATTTTTTTCTACTTAATGCAGAATTATTTTTGTCTAACTTTTAAAAATAAAATTATTATTGTATTTAATTAACAGTCAGCTATCATCACTTCCATATTTATGATAGTTATTCCTATGTTTCATGACTGTACATTTTAGAGTAATATTTAAGATAGATATTTTTCTACTTTTTAGAACATAATTAGTTCAGAACTTGTTATCTCGAAAGCTCGCCATCTCGAAATTTTTTCAGCGTCCCTTCAACTCTTTGAGATATCGAGAGTAGACTATATAAATATATATACTATATATATATATATACTTACATCTTTTTCTGACATTGCTTGACGAATGAGCATTATNCTGATTAAACATATATACGGTTGAATGACAGGAGCTTTTTCACATTAAGATAGTGTGTTTTAAAACAAAATAGAAGGAAGGGTTATTTATTTTTTTTTAAATTTTAAATTTGGTTGGTTTTGCAACTCACTTAAGAGTTGGACGTTTTGCTACAAGCCAACATTTCAATTTCATTAATTTGTAAATATTGTGTAAATTGTATGGACAAAAATAAAAGCATAATTTAAGTGAACTGCATTTGATATTACATTTATGTTATGTTATGAGAAAAGTAGCATCAGAGAAAAAATTTTAGAAATCACAGGCCTCATTGCCTTAACCTAAATTTGAAAATTGACTTAACATGTAAAATCCAAAAAAAAGTAGTATTTTTTTTCATTCTTTGTAAAAACAAATATCAATGATTTTGTAAATGAAAGAAATTTCAGTGACTTTTTCTAAGATTTAAACAGATTTAAATAACTGTAAATATGAGGAAATTTTTTAAAAAAATTAATGTTTGCAAGTGAGCCGGAAGATTTTACTTTTAGCGCAGAAAAAGACGGTGTTTCATGCAGTATTTTATAACCATAAATTATTAAAATGCTAAATATAATATTTTTCACTTATTTTGACTTAAATTAATTTTAAATAATGAAAAAAAGTATGAAAAATATGTTTAATTGAAATTCGGCATCAAATTGTAAAAAATATATAAACTCAAGATTTAAGATTGAAAAATTTAAGATTAAATAATGTGTCTCAGAAATTGTAGAATTTTTATATAATTGTTTTATAAAAAAATCAGCTTCTTAGGGTGATTGAAATGGATGTAGCATAATATGATAATCTGCAACTAAAATATCAGTTGATAGTGAGTAAATAATATTATCATGAAATGTAACTCATGTAACCGAATGTAACTCATGTAAATTTTGATTTAAAAAAAGGAAACATGGTAAACAAATTACCAGGTAAGATCTGCAGCCTTTTTTTTTAAAATCTTTTCAATGACGTAGAATTTTTTAGGAGAAATTTTCTCCTCAAATTTCTTTGCAATCGAAAAATACACGAAGGACGAAACTCAATTGAAAACTTCGTGCATACAGTTACAGGTGAAGATAAGGGGTGTACTACAGTTACATATTAAGAAATAACAAAAATTTTGATCAAAAGCGACATTTGGTAAATATGGGATTGGCCTTGGGCCGGGATAGCCTGGTTGGTAGGGCACCGGGCCCGTGTCCAAGAGGTCGTGGGTTCGATCCCTGCTGACCGAAGACTCCCCGAGTAGTAAAGGGTGACTGGAGCGTGTTAAATCTGTCGAGTCACAAAGTCCTCTGTGTTCCCAAAACAAATAATACCTCTGGGGGTACTGATCCAGGAGTTTCCTTGTCTTCTGGATTGGTTCAAAATTACAAGGCTACGGAGTTGAACATTAATAGTCGTAAACCCAAAATTGGTTCGGCTGTTCAACGATGGTTATAAAATAAAAATATAAATAAAATATGGAATTGGCCAGCTTTGGAGCGAAATGTTATTTTCAGACGCATAATTAGCGGAAATTTGATCGGTTTTTTGTATTCAGTTGATCGAAAAGATTACTTGTAACTTCAAAAAACCTTTTTTGAAACTGAAGACACAATTATACCTTCTGAACTAACAGGCAACAAATTAACAATCATTCATGATAAAATTCTGATATCAAAATAATTACAATAAAATAATATTTTTTGTTGCAGCCTTGACTGAACTCCTAAATGTAGATATAGATGTACTGTTATTCTGAACTTTTATCATTGTTGCTAAGCAGAAGATTTTTAAACCTAAAGCAGGTACACTTTTTTAGCATTTCTTTTATTGATTATTTTCTAGTTTTCTTACTTTAAAACATGCCGGCCAGGTGGCCGAGCGGTTAGCGTGCCTGACTGCGAGGCCATAGGCTGCGGGTTCGAATCCCGCTCTGGGCATGGATGTTTCTCTCTCTCTTTGTGCTGTCCTCTGTTGTGTGTGTGTGTGAATGTGGCCCACCCTATAAATGGGTTTGTGGTAGTGTGGCGTGGGCAATGTTGCTCGCCTCCGTGACTTTGGTTCTCAGGTGCCCACTGGGTAACGCGAAATGAGCAACAATTCTGGCATAGTATAGGCAAAGATTCAAATTCAGTGCCAGCCATTGGGGAAAAAAAAACTTTAAAACATGACTCAAATCGTTGATAAATAGGCAAAAGTATAATGTATTTCCTATGTTTATAAGCTTTTTAAATTATTACTTCCCGTATTAAAAGGGTCCAAGGTACCTCCCGCAAAAATAGAGTTTTTGTGCCATGATCGTAAGGGGTCTTGGTATGAGCATGTTTACTTTAGTCGTAAAGAAAAGATCAGTAACATATTTTAGCAAATTACGAAGGAAAAACAAATGTTCTAAAATGGCGCCTTCAGGCAATATTGTTCTGTAAGTAGTTTCTCCCAACAGAGGATTTAATTATATATTTTCGCAGCCAACTTCACGCCACATAATCTTTATATATTTTGACAGCTTGTTTGAAAAAAAGTTCGATTGATTCCACTCTGTAGTTTTTGGTTGGTACCCTTTTAAATATGGAAAATAAAAAGCAGAATCTTCGGCATATTTTACTTTTTTACTCCGCAAAGGAAAAAAAAATACTGTTCGAGCAAGAAAAAAAATTATCCGATGTTTATAAAGAAGATGTATTGGGAATACGCCACTGTCAAAACTGGTTTGCAAAATTTTGATTCGTCAAAATTGTTATTCAGATGCACGAGTTGCACCACACCAGTTTAAGCTGACGAAGACACATTAAAAGCATTAATTGTTGCAAACCGGCGAATAACCGGCGAACTCGTGAGATTGCTGAGAGATAAAATTTATCGAACTCGACGGTTCATGATCATTTGAAAAGCTTAAAAATTTTAATCTTAAAGCTCGACATATGAGTTCCTCGCGTCCCTACGGGAAAAATTTGTGCCGTCACGTTTACGTCTGTGATTTGCTTCTCAGACGTCAAGAAAATAATCCATTTTTCACCACTGGGGGCGAGAAATGGGTTGTCTACAAAAATGTTCCGATCTCTACAAAATTTTTTAGATGTTAATATTTTTACTTTAAATAAGGAGGTTAAAAATCCCTTGGGTCTTCCTTTTTTTCCAGCAAAGAAAACAAAAAAAATATGTGCGTAAAATCATGCTATCATCAGAAAGATGGCAAAATGTATTAAATCGGAATAAACAATATATGATTTAATAAAATACTTATTCACTATAAAAAATTTACCTATCATTTTCATAAAAAAGCAAAATTATTTTTCGAAAAACCTAATACTTTCTTCATATGCAATTATACTGATACATCAGAAGTGCAATTACATGATTTTGAGCTGATCCACATTTTAACAGAACAGACAGTTGCGTAAAAATTGAAAATTTGAGAGTTTAAATTTTTCCTGCCTTGGGTTAAAGCAGAGAATCCCATTTTTTCCCCAATAGTCTTAAATTTATTTTTCTAAGATCAACTGCTTATGTTTTAATTGACGATGACATTGTTAATAACGATATTTGGTAGATAAAATATTTTTTCTACAAGAAGAAAAAAGAAAAAAAACTTGTTGTTAATTGATTCTGAATGTATTTTTCGACCTAATTAGAAGAATATTCAAATTTTAAGTATGAAACCTTTAATATATATTTTCTAAACTATACATAAAGCAGGTCTCAAATTAATTTTCAAGAGCTGAAAACAATTTTAATTTAGTGAACTAAAAGAGACTAAAAAAGAAGAAGAAAAAACCTCTTTGATTGCCTGAGAAGACTATTATTAGAAAAACGTTTTAGTTATATTTCAACATTCCAGCTTTGATCAATGGGTATTTGTCAAATTTCGATAGTGGTTCTCGGATTGAGAACAGGGATCTAAAAATATATATTAAGGATGGTTATTACTGAACACTCTGTATTAAACATGAGCTTTATTCTAAAATGCAAAGGAACACAATCATAATCACTTTCCTAAGAAGCCAATCCTTTCTTCAGTATCTGTTTTTTATATCTCTTAACTACAAAAAAGTCGATTACTCACAATTTTCTTGAATTAATGATAAATAACACTCATTGTAATTGGCTGCATCGCAATTGCTTTAAAAAAATTATTCTTTAATAGCCTCTATGAACTCATTTTTTTAGTAATCGAAAATCAGCCAGTCAGTAAATATTTGAATCAAATTCAATTAGACCTTCTCTACCGCGTAATCTTTTTCAAACCATCGAAAAAGAAAAAAGGTCAATATTCAAATGAAAAAAAAAAACAAGAAAATTTAAAGTAATGAAATAAGAAATTCAAATTTGAAATGGTAAAATGAAATAATATTAGATTTTAGATAATTTTTTTTTCACAATTTACTTCATTTGAATCGAACCGACAAAATAATGCCGACGCATTTCCACACGACAAAAATCTCAAATTTTAATCTCGACTTTAAATTTGAAATACACAGTTTTCGGTGCAGTAGATCTATGTAAGTAATTGCTGTTATTTACACTTGAAAAGAAAGGGCCCGACTTTGGAATGAGATTTGGTGTAAAAATAGTATACCTTTAGGATGTTCACCCCTGAAAATAATTGGCCGCTCCAGCCATCCACTTCTGATTAAAAAAATTTTTTTTGAAAATGTGATCAAAGATTAAATAATAGTTAAGGCGTTTTTCTGACTAATAGCGCAGTGGTATAGGCGGTAACTTCTTTCATTGCCACTCTAAACATCGAGGTTCAATACTCGCTGACGGTAGATTTCATCTTTTTAATTTAATTTTTTATATCTACCGCTTCTACAAACATTAATAATTTAAATATAAATAATTTTTTGTTAGTTTTTTTAGTTGCTAGATATACGTAATTGCAATGATTCAATCTTTCAATTATAAAGCTAGAAGGTGAGGTCACCGTTGGTTGGAAAAGTAGTATTTTTAAACTTTGATAACTCAGAAACTATTCGATCAATGGCGCTCAATTCTTTTTTAAATTTTACTAGTTAAAATTGCACTCTTTAAAATGGTGTAGAAATGTGTAGATTTAACAATTTAAAATCAGTTCAAATAAAACAATTAAAAATAGTAAATAATTATTAAAAATTATTTTCTACATCTTTGGGCAAACGAATTTTATAATTATGTTCAAAAAAATTTATTTCCCTTATTAAATTTATTTTACCTTAAAAAGTTGACGAGTTACAGTAAACTACGCTAAAAGTAAAATTAACGGCCGCTCTCCGGGGCTACCTCCCCTATTCTAAGGATCCATCGGTAAAATTTAAGTTTATTCAGACGTTTTTGAGTCCACTTAATTAGCATATTTAAAGTTAGTCCTTCAATCCATTAAGTCGTAATTCTCTCATTAGATCAAAAGTTATTCAGGGTGTTCTGTTTTTTTTTTCACGCACTGCACAGTAAAAAACTATTTATAAATACTGTTTTAATGGATAAGTAGAATATTATAAAACTTTTATTTACATTATTTTAGAACAAGAACTATTAGACAGTCAGATCTCGATTTAACGAACTCACTGACATCGAAAATTTTAGTCTTCAAATGATATTAGGGTTCAAAATGAAAAATAAAAATGGCATTTACCTATGGAGCAACATCAAAAAAGCAATTACGCTAAAATATCTTTAATCATTTTGTTGCATAATTTTTTTTAAAAATCAAAACAGGTTTTAAAAAAAAACTGCTTGTTTATTTCATATTCTAAATCTATTAAAGTTTAGAGTTAAAGTATGAAGAAAAAAAATTGCAATGGAGTTTTTACATTCAATATAAAATTAGATCATAAAAACCGGTAGCCAGGAAATTAAAATTGAAGAATAATCATATAAAAGCAGTGAATAAAAATATACAAAATATTTATGAAACATTTATTAGTAATAATGTTTAGTATGATGAACTTCGAAACAAGAGACACCGTGTGACAAGAGAGCACCGTGAGGGTGAAGGTGCGGCTTAGTTCAGTACCCCTAAATAGATGCCAGCACCCTTTATTCGTGTGGCCACTTCCATAATTTAAATATAGATCTGAAGGGGAAGGAAACTTTAACCAGATCCTACCCATGGTACTGCTCAGCGACCTACCAGGGGATATACGACTCCACAGATATTACTAGCACGTATATTCCATTTACTTGGTGGGTCTTCTTAAGGGTCGAATCCTGGCCAATCTGGATAGAAGTCCGATGTTCTAAACACTGGGCAGCTACGGTTCGCAAAACAGCATTGAATGCACCAGCTCATTTCATTCGTATCTATGGAAATTCCACTTTTTGAAAGTATTTTTCAGTTGTATTTTTAGAAATTTTGTTCCAAGGCTATCTTACAAAATATAGAGTATCCAAAAATTTATGTTTGTATAGTTTTTTTGTAGTTTTGTTCAAGGATGCTAAAATTTTTCGTAACTTCTTGTTTTCACAGAACGAATATTAATGAGGGAAAACACAATTTGTCAGGAAATGCGACTAAATTACTAACTGGAGGATTGATAAATAAACAAAAGAACATTTAATCCAAAGACGTCAAATGTATGAGATAATAATTCTGTTATAACTTCACTTAGAGCCCAACATTTTTTTGGTCCAATAATTTGTTTATTCGGAAATTTTTATATGTTAAATAATGACTTTTGCCTTGAGTTTAATCAGGGGGAAATTTGTGAAATTGCAAATTCGATAGACAGACGTTTGTTAAATTGGGGTAGGACAGTATTATTTTTATTGATTATTTAAAAACTATTACTGTAATTTAAATATCAATGAATATCTATAGTAAGAAAATTT